GAGGGGGCGGGGCTTATACTTAACGTGGTCGTAAAGAGGACGGGGCTTTGGATTAGGGGCGTGGCGATATGGAATGGGCGGGGCTTCGATACAAGGGGGTTCGTTTGCACGATGTGACCGTAAAAGGGGGCGGGGCTTAGGAGGGGGCGGGGCTTGTGTTTTACGTGGCCGTTAAAGGAGAGCGTAGCAATGCTGAAGGAGCGGAGCTTGGCAATATGTAATAGGCGGGGCTTGCAGGACAATGGGCGTGGCTTAGATGACATGTGACCGTGGGAGGCAGTGGGGCTTTGGTTTTGGGGCAGGGTTATAATGAATGGGCGGGGCTTGGGTGAAGGGGCGTGGTTTATGGCACGTAATTGTGGGAGGGGTGGAGCTTTGTGTCGGGCACGAGGTGATGCTGAAAGGGCGGGGCTGAGGGGCGGAGTTTGACGGCAGGGGGCGTGGCTTGTAGGAAACGTGATGGTGGAGGGGGTGGGGTTTGGGTTGTGAGCGCGGCGGTTCTGAATGGGCGGGGCTTGGGCGACGGGGCGTGGTTTATTTCACACGTGACCGCGGGAGGGGGCGGGGCTTGGGTGTCGGGGCGGCGCGCCATGGGGGCGGGGCTTCCGTTAGTGGGCGTGGTTTGTATGAGGCTTTGTGGCATGGAAAGAGCGGGGCTTTGGCGTGGGGGCGGGGCTTCTCTAATGACGTAATGGCAAGGGGCGGGGCTTAGTTTCAGGGCCGTGGCCTCGAGAAAGGGGCGGGGCTGGAATGCGGCCTTGAGAGGGGGCGGGGCTTGGGGGCGGGGCTTGGGGGAGGGCCTGGAGGTCTGGGAGGGGCGTGGTTTGCATGATGTTTGCGGAGGTGTCGCTGTGAGCAGGGCTTCGAAGCTGGCACGGAAAGCGTTAAAAGGAGTGGGCGTGGCTTCGGTAGGGAACTTAACCAATCAGCGGTGGCGCTCAGCTCGCGGGGAGTGGGGGGGGCCGCCGCTCTGTGGGCGGGGCCACCGATCGTGCGGGTGCCCCATAGCAGCCCCATAGCCACCCCATAGCTGGGGGATGCCCTACGGGTGCCTCAGACACCCCATAGATTGGGGGTGCACCCCATAGGTGCCCCATTGCTGAAGGTTGGAAGTGGGGTTGCCTGATAGCTGAGGGAAAAGCACCGGAGTTTTTTGGGCTCCACATCGCCCAGCGGTGCTGCCCCATAGATGCCCCATAGCCCGGGGTGGGGATGCCCCACAGATGCCCCATAGCCCGGTGGTGTTGCCCCATAGACGCCCCATAGCCGGGGGGTGGGTGCCCCATAGCCATCCCATAGCCTAAGGGGACTCTCCATAAATGCCCTATAGCCAGAGGGGATGCCCTATAGATGCTCCATAGCCCGAGGGGGTGCCCCACAGATGCCCCATAGCCTGGTTGTGCTGCCCCATAGATGCCCCATAGCCGGGGGTGGGGATGCCGCATGGCCCTAGGGGCTGTCCCATAGAAGCCCCATAGCCAGGTGCTGCTGCCACATAGAAGCCCCATAGCCGGGGATGGTGCTGCTCCATAGATGCCCCATTGATGCCCCATAGCCCAACGGGGTGCCCCATAGATGCCCCATAGTCACGTGGTGCTGTCCCATAGAAGCCCCACAGCCAGAGGCGGTGCCGCCTCATAGATGTACGCCAGCCAATCAGCGGCTGCGCTCGCCTGGCACGAGCCACGCATGCGCCGCGCCGCGCCGTGGGCGGAGCCTCCGCGGCTATAAAAGCCGCCGCAGCGCCGCTCGCCGCCATTCGGCGCTGAGGTAAGTATGGCTGTGGTGGGGGCTTGTGCTGCAGGGCGCGGGGCCGTCGCGGTGATGATCGCTCAGACTAGAGTCTCCGACCGCTCTGAGGACACCGCAGCGCCTGAGCGACGGCCCCGCCCGGCTCCGCGCCCCGCTCCGCCCTCACCGCTCTCTTTTCGCAGGCTTCCGACGCCGGATCGCTCCCATAGCGGTAAGAGCCGTCCTTCCACCCCCTCCGCGGCCCTTCCCGCCCCGCGGCCGTGAGGAGCCCCGCACGAGGCCGAGCCGCCGTGACGAGCCCGCAGCGCACTGAGCCCGCGGAGCCCGCGCCGCCAGGCTGCTCCGCGCTGCGCCGTGCCCGCTCAGTGCTTTTTATCCTCCAGGGTCGGCGAACTGGAAGATTTTGGGGGCCGGAAAAGGCGGCTTTTGGGGCTGCGCTGAGGTAAAGCTGGGATTTGTGGGCAATAAATGCGGTTTTAAATCCGTTTGTGGTGTTGGAGTGGTGATTCGCGCCCGTACGGACGGTGGGACCGCGTGGGCGCCGCCATCTTGGCTGGGTTCCCGCCCGAAACCGTGGGCAACGTGGGTGGGGTCACGTGGCGCTCCGCCATTTTGGCCCTTTGTGAATGGGCAGCGGTGGTCACGTGATGCCCCCCCATCTTGAAATGGAGTCCCGTAGTCAGAAGGGAACGGGCGCTCGTCACGTGACACGGCGCCATTGTGGCTGGTCGGGAGGCGTTTCCATAGCAACGACGGCGCGTCCCTTTATTACACCCTCACTTCCGGTTGCCCTTCAGACTACCGCTATCACGTGGTGCGCCGCATGTTGGAACCGCGGTACTTCCGCCCGTCCCCACAGCAGCGCCGCCATCTTCGAACCAGGGCGGGTTTTCCGCCCTTCCCCGTAGCAACGCCATCCCGTGGCGCGCGGCCTCTTTGGAATCGGGGCGGTACTTGCGCCCGTCACCATAGCAACCTTCACCACGTGATTCGGCGCCATTTTGAAAGCAGGAGGATTGCTTCCGGCTGTTTCCATAGCAACCACACCCTGTGACCCTCCGCTGTTTTGTTACTACAGCGGACCTTCTGCCCGTTCCCATAGCAACGTTATCACGTGATTTGGTGACCTCTTGCAAACGGCGGTACTTCCGCTCGTTTCCATCGCAGCGCCACCACGTGACGCGCCGCCATCTTGGACCCACGGCTATTTTTGCGCCCGTCTCCACAGCAACGCCACCACGTGACCCTCTGCCATCTTGAAATCAGGGCGGTACTTCCGTTCGTTTCCATCGCAGCGCCACCACGTGACCCGCCGCCATCTTGGACCCACGGCTGTTTTTCCGCCCGTCTCCACAGCAACGCCACCACGTGACGCACCGCCATCTTGGACCCTGGGCTGTTTTTCCGCCCGTCTCCACAGCAACGCCACCACGTGACGCACCGCCATCTTGGACCCTGGGCTGTTTTTCCGCCCGTCTCCACAGCAACGCCACCACGTGACGCACCGCCATCTTGGACCCTGGGCTGTTTTTCCGCCCGTCTCCACGGCTCCGCCACCACGTGACGCTCCGCCATCTCGGCCGTCCCCTCCCCGATGTGGCGCTGGGCCCGGGGCGCTCCGTGGGGCCGAGGCCCTCCGTGGGGCCGCGGGGATCCCCCGGCGGATTCCGCGGAGCCATTG